GATAAAATTTGCGCGAGGTTTTTTTCAGGACGAATGATAGTAATAGATTTTTTTGCTTGGCAAAGAAAGAAATAAAAGATACAAAATAAAGAAAAAAATTTTTTCTCGCACATATTATAACATTTATAACTAAAACGGTTATTGAGTGTCATCAGCAAGTAAACAAAAAAAAATTCTCATTGCGTTATCATGATATCATGATTAGGCAGTTTGCTATTAAAATGATCACATATGATTTACTTCTATATATCGTGATCTAGTGGCTACAAATGAATAAAAGTAAATGCAAAAAAAAAATAATACATTTATAACCAAAACAAATGTTATTGAGCGTAGCGTTATCATGATAAACAAATCATCACTTATCAATATTTAACGTGAAATCATAATATCATGATTAAAATAAGGGCAGCGCCGTCCAAGTATATACATGGACAAAATAATTCACCATTGAAGCAAGTCCATCCATTTATCATTTATCAAGAAAAAATAGTAAAATTAAATGTCGCGTCTACCTGCATTGTTTATCAAAACTATCACGTGAAAGTAAAAAATGATCGATAGTCGATCACCAATGTTCGTTACACGTGAAATTTTCTTGAATAGTACCGGGTACTGTAGTAAGTAATCTCTGTCCGATTTCTTGATTTATTTTCTGGCGCAAACATTTTTACTTAGAGAAAATGGTACTTCTATTTGTTTAAAAAGAATAAAATAAATTCACGAAATGTAAATTCTTTCAATATTTTTATTTTAAAGAATATATAATATACATTCAACCAAAAAAAAAAAAAAAAAAGATTGCATCGTACGTTATAACCTTTTTTTTTTGTTATGAGGTGGAGATATTAAGCGGTCAATTTTCAAGCAATTCGCCTCCGATTCTACATCTAGCCTTTTCATAAGGATATTTTGCAATGCGTTCTCAATGTAAGATTGGATAAGACGAATCCTGTGTTTAACAGCGCTAATATCAATGAACTTTCTTGTTTTTGGTCTTGATATCAAACGATTAATTAAGCTAATAACCATTCTATCATCGTTTTAATAACAAATTGGTTGTTAAATTTAAAAGTACTTCCTCTATTTCATTATTTTTTTTTAATTTTTTTAATATTTTTCTAATTTTATTCTTCGCCCAGTGGTTAAATATTTTAGTGTTATAACTCATTGTGATAGTAATAATAATTGATTACACCGAGAGATAACTTTTAGATACTTAAGGATACTTATTATTAATATTATTAATGTCATTATTTAATCACCGCTTTTTGACGCGGTTTCTAAAGAAAAAAGATTAATAAAAAATCCAACAAGAAACTTTTAAATAATTTACGATGCGTTCCTATTTGTACCTTAACGCTGTTCTTATAAATGATTTCCTTTTATAGCACTTGTAATATTATTATATTGCTCATGCAATCAAAGATTAATATTAATAAAATAAAAACAATTTTATTTGATTCAAAATGTGAAAAATGAATTCAAGTTAAAAATGGTAATATCTCTCGCCAAAATTTTACAAAATCATAATCACTCTAACACAACATCTCGACTAATATCGCACGATATCAATATATTCCACCTAACTATAAAGGATTTGTATTAGAATCATATCAAATACGATGTAGAATGTACGGAAAATTATGATTAATATTTCCAACAATTCTTTTAATTAAATTCATAATGTATTTATTCAGTTGTTCGTTTGTCACAAATTTTATGTGAAAGGATTAAATTTGGAAAATAGATTGTGCATTTCGAAAAAAATTTTTTTTCACAAGATAATTCATAAGAATTTTTTTATGGAATACAGTATATAAATATATATATATTTCCAAGTTAAAGTATATTTAGAATTATTAACATAACAAAACAAGCCTAAAATTTTTAAGTTTTGAAGGTACAGCTACGTACGTACAGAAATTCTCAATAAAAATGTTTGAGAATGTTGATGAAATCCGAAATTTTGAATATAATGGAAAAGGGCAAACCAACTGAAAGCATACTCACACTGAAAATAAGTTAAGTAATCTCTAAAAATAAAATAAAAGTTTGAAATGAACTCGAAAAAAATTACAAAAAACAAAATTCGGCAAATTTGGATAAATACAGTGTCTCGCAGTAAAGACCTTGAATGACCAAGTGTTTACATGATATATATATAATAATTCGACATTTTTTGGTAGAGATAATGGCAATGTCATCTACATATATATTTTTTTATTGTCAGTTAATTGGTTCAAATTCACCAATCAAATGAAATATATTTACAAAAAATTAATAATTTATTATATTTATATATATATATTTTTTTTTAAAAAAAAAAATAAAGGTACATTTTAAAGTAGATGGATTAAGGACGAATTCACAAATTACTCATAAGAAATTGTTTTGAAATCCACAAGTTCCCTCAACCAATCAAAAAAATTATTGGATTAAATTTAAAAGTGAGTTGTATAATTTCTGTTTTGGTAACACCCGCATAAGAAGGTCATAGACCACGTGAAAGGATTTCGTAACATGCACACAACATGAGTCTTTTGTTGATTTGTTCGGTAACAGCGGTATGCAAAGTCATATTGATCAAAGTTCAAGATATTCTTTTGTTAGGGCCGGAACAACGAATAACATAACATCCTTGAGTGTTACGCAAAAGGAACATGGTGTAAGTTATAGCGATGCCAGATCCTAACATTGGCGATTTTGTCTTTTCGACAATGACACCAAACATGACCATATAGTAAGCGAAGACTTCATGTCTTCCAAAGATTTGTAAGCTCCAAATTGAGGAAACGACGATATTTCGTTTTAACTATAAACTCACATTTACGAGCTGGCTTAATTTCAAGGATTTCAATCACACGGAGAATTCGTGGAACTCCATTAGCTCCAAATGTATCTTTTATTTTTTTTTAAAAAAAAAAAATGGTGATGATGATTATAGAGCATATGAAAATGTATAGATAATACAAACAAAATAACAATATAAATTCTCACCTGCTACTTGATCTGTGACATGTGCCAATTTCTTGACCAGATCAGTATCTCTTTAAGTTTTTCCGGTTCTGATGGTACAGCTTCACGCCATTCCCTCAATATTTTTTGAAATACCGGAACCGTAATCTATGTAAACGTAACCAAGAAAATAACACCATTTCCACTCCATCTTTTTTTTGCATCATCAAAAGTCAACCCAACTTCTTCTCCTTCCTTAGGGTAATCTGTACCCAATTTTCATCATCTTTGGAGATTGATGGGTGCCATCTGTAGATGTAATTAAATGATTACCCATGCTAGTTTGATTTGGGTTAGTCAAGGTGTCCCTTGGAAAATTTAAAGTGGGATCTTGGAATTAGCCTTATTAAGATCAAGGATAGTATGCAAGTAATCATGTAGAATGGTATGGTGATAGAGGCTGCCATTGACCAATCTTGCTGTTTGGAAAAGATTTTCGTCTTGAATTTTAAGTTCCTCTGGGTCGTTTGGATCTATCGTCCCGTCCATTGTCGTTAATTTGTAAGAGACGTTTAGCTATATAGTTTTGGTTACGCGAGAATAGAATCAATAAACAGCAAACATCGGGAGGATGTATAATGAATCTCCAGTCAGCAAAAGTGTCAGGTTCAAAAGACCAAGGCGTCCCTGTCTGACGCTCATTTGTTCTTTTAAGTTTCTACCATAAAGAGGTGCCAAGTCCAAGTAAGATGATATTTGATTTATGTATGGTTCATTCGTGTGTGATAATAACATTGAACTAATTGATGAAGGATGAAGTTTGAATTCTTTTCGAACCATTAAAGTGTCAAATAAACTTTCCGGATCGGGAACGTTAAAAAGCGGTGGGCGATCGATACGAACGTTTCTTGCATAGGATCTCCCGATTCCAGGGTATACGCGTGAATAATTTGAACAATCTGCTGAAAGATAAAAATCATTTGCCCACATATTCGGTGGTTTGGAAATATCTGACGATATTAAAAGTTCACGCAAGAGATTACTGTTTGATGGAAGTTTTGACATAATCCGCACTATCGTTTCCAACTAGAGCGATTAGTGGAAATGTAACTGGCTTTGAATTCAAGAAGGTAAAATTTTAAATTACCTAGAATTGGGAATCATCCCACGGTTTAGTACCTAAGGCGAGCAATTTGATGGTAAAAACGATATCTTCGACGGATTCTTTGAGTCCCAAGGCTTCGATATCCTTGATGAGGTTGCTGTTAACTCTGAACTAGTGAGAGGTTCATCTAATACACCATCACCTTGTTCAGGTGGAAGAGGTCTACGAATAGACTTAATGAGATCCGTAACTTGGGAATACTATCCATTAATTAATTTTGGATTTAGGATGTGGTGTTTTTTGGTTGTTGCGCGTGTATATATATCTCTCTCTATCTTTACATACAAATGTATATATATACATATTACTATTTTTTAATGAATGAATCAAATAGGGTAGGGTAAGTTGCAATTTATATTTTCTCTCATGGACCACACAATTATTTCAAAAAATATGATGAATAAGGCCATTATGTGAAGAAATTAATTATTAAAATTGTGCATCTATTGTCAAAGAAAATCTATTAAAATCAATTTATCTTGGATTTGTGCCATTTGATGTAAATTTAATGAATTTATATTACCATTTATTTCAGAAATTTAAGAACTATAGAACAAGGAAAAATAATGAAAGCTTTTGCAATAGAAAGGGGGAAGGTTATGTTATTTGATTTTTTATAGTTTAATTCTTTTTAAATACTTCAAAATCAAATTTTTTAACCTTTTTGGTGTAACTAGTAGATGGTTGGGTTGGATGTATATGAGTCTTAATGCGGGCCGACGTGACATTTTTTGATGGGAACGTACGACCATTACTGCGAAAAAAAATACAGATTTTTCATTTTTCATTTTAAAACCAAAACTAAGGTAGTATTTCTTATGGCACAATGCACAATGAAGTATTGCAATTGATGTCGTCGTCGAGTTCGTTGTTTGAAATCATAATAAAAAATTAATAGATCGTCAAGGAAATGTGATCATCAAAAATCCGACTTATATATTTACCTGTCACACACACCATGATTCATTTTTTACTATTTAATCTGGGAACAGTTTTTTTAGGGTGTGAAATCACCGTTGGTTTATTAACATTAGCCACATTATATATATATATAGGTAGGATATAATATCACGTGTCCGAGGAATTTTGATGTTCTTTAAATTCAAGCAATACAATTCTTTTAGTAAATAATTCTATAAAAAAATATTATTATTGTGCGGAATTGCGCACATTTTTGGTGTGCCGCACTACACGTGACAGATTTGACCAGAATACCACTTTTGAATTTCATTGCGAGTTTCAGAGTGATGAGTCAAATAGTCGGTTAGAGTGATTTTCTACAAAAAAATTTATCGGAAAAATGACCGGTAGTCCCGAGACATTATGAAAATCGGAATCAATTCAATAGACTTGGTTTAATTCAAACTAATTAAATATTTCGAGCTTTTTGTGTTTTTATCAGTATTCGGATATTTCATTTCCTCTTTCAGAACAATTAACATTTGTTAAATAAAACAAATATTTTGAACAATATTTTAGTAAAAATGCAAACCATTCTCAAAGAACGATTGGGAACTTTAAAAATAATATATAAAATAATATTTAATTGTTCCAAATGTGTAGAATAAAATAACAAATGATGTATGTATTTCATTAAATATTGAAAAGCAAAGATTATTTACAATTAACTTTTCAACCATGATGATTTGGTTGTTTTATAATCAACCAAAAGAAATGTAATTTCATATCCTATCCTATTTAAGATACATATTATACCCATTAGGAGGTCAAAAAAAGATGGTAAAATTGTTGCGTCTGGTACCATTAACGTTAAATATGCATTAAAATTAAAATATATGAATCTCGTTTTTTAGTTTTCGAAATACTATTTATAGCAAATTCGTGATAATCAATTCGTATAGGACTATACTATTTACTGAACAAATTTGCGAGCTCCTTTTTGAATGAAAACTTGATCCATCATAAATTTATATGGAAACAAATTAATAATAAAATAATTAAATTAAATAAAATAAATAAAAAACAATGTAAATTACTTCCAGTTATTTATCACATAATAAAGAATATTAGTTTTTATACAAAGAAATTGGTCTCCATGTGATTTTTTGGCCAACGTTATAAAACTTGGCCGAAATTAACACGTGATGACAAAAGGATTTAAAATGAAAGAAAAAAAATTGATAGATATTATATTAGCCAAATAAAATTTAAGATTTAAAGATCACATGACTTTTAATAATAAAATATATTTTGTATATTAATCATTTTATTAAATCCTAGATATATTGTATATAATCGTTTTTAAAAATTTATGGAATTATGATTTTAAATTATTTTAATTCTTAAAGGTTTTAATAATTTGATAATATATATCAGGAATTGATTCTAAAAGTAGAATCAATTAAAGATTCGATAATAATATTGTGATTGAAATTGATTTTCGTCTGAAGTTGGAATTAAAATACTTTTTGGATGTCTGAAATTGAGATCCGAAGACCATTAACTGAAATTGGAATTCTAATTTCAATGATCATAATATAATATAAATTTTGACCAAAATTTAGATTTCCCCTTTTTCTACTGACCACCTCCCATATACTAAACTTTATATATATATATTATATACTTCACTATTTAATCATATTTAGTTATAATATTATATAATAAATTTATTATAAACTCCATTTAACATAATATCTGAAATTGAATTTTAGATAGCATCTGAATTTCAGTCATGAGGTCACCTAAAATTGGGTTATCTGAAATTAAATTTCAAATAAATCTAAATTTAAATACATGTTAACAAAATAATATAATTAATAATTATTTGTAAATAATTTAGATTTTTTTTATTTTTTTATATTATTTTTTATTTTTTTTTAATATAATTGCTTTATGTTCTATCTTTTAATTCATTTTATTTTCAAAAATTATTAATTTTTTATTTTTATTATTATTAGAACTTTGATAAATTTAACAAATTTATTATTTAATTAATTTTTTAATTAGTTACTAAACAATTTAATTTAATTATTGAATTTATTATTATTTATTATTATCTATTTAGCTATTTAACTATTTTGAATATTTTAACTATTTGATTATTGTGCTATTTTTATTTATTTATATTTTGGCTAATTTATTTATTATATTAATATTTCCTATATTAGAAATTTAATTATATGAATAGTTTGCTATAAAAATTGAGTTATAGATCATATGATTTATTATATCTTATATATTAATTTTACCGCTAAATAATAGGATACTTGGCATACTTGGCAATTTTTTTAGCAGAGTATTTGCCAGGTAGTCAGGTTGACAGATACTTGATAAATTGAAAATCAAAATAACACATGATATTTGATAACTGTAAATTTTTTTACTGATCAATATAAGCATTTTATATTATATAAAATAAATATTTTTTATTGTACAATAATATATTATAAGTGTTTATTATATATAAAATACCTAACAATCAGATTACTTAGCAAGTATTTAGCTAAAAAAAAGTTGCCAAGTATTCTATTACTTATAAAAACAGCTATAATAAGAAATAACTCATATTATTTATTTAAATAGATAGCTAGTTATTTTTATTTTATTTAATTAAATAAATTTAAATATTTTTAATTATTATAATAGATTTTTCTATTTTATTTATTTTGATTATTTGAATATTTAACTTCCTAACTATTTATTTTCATTAGTTTAATAATTTTGACTATTATAATTCTATTATCATAAATATACTATTTTTATTTTTATCTATATGCTATTTAATTATTTTATTTATTTAGTTATTTACTAATTACTATTTTATTATAATAATATTCTTTAATTTGAATTTTAGCTATATTAAATAAAATTATTTTTAATTTTATATTAAAAAATACAAAATAGAACAAATTTAATATAAATTTATATATTAATTAACTAAATATTTGTTTAGAAAAGTAAATCTTGAATTATTCAAATTAATTGTTACATCTTTGAGAAATATAAATAAAAATATAATATATTATATTTTTAATTTTTAATTTAAAAAATTCTGATTTTCTAAAAATAAAAAGGATATTTATATTTATATTAAAATATATTAAAATATGTAAATAATTTATAAATTAAAAAAATAAACTAAATTATTCTTGATTATAAGTTACTTATAATAATATAAAAATAAATTTTCTATTAGTATTATTAGTATTATACTTATTATAGTAGAAATAATAATATTTATTCAATATTAAGAAAATACAAATTAAATTAAAAGTATTTTAAAAAATTAGTAATATAATAAATAAATATATAATATTAAATATTTTTATAATTAAAAGATAAATCTATTTATTTTATTATAATTTTATTTAATTGAATATATATAAATTTTTATATATCAAATTTAATTAAAAATTTAGAAAAAAATATATCTAAAAGTTATATTTAATTTATTATTTATTATAAAAAAAAATTAATACTTAAAACCAAGAATTTGTAATATATTATAATAATTAATTAATAAGTAATTTATAATATAAACCAAAATTTATTTTTTTAACATATATTTTTTAATAAATTAATAAAAATAATTTATAAACAAATATCTTATTAATAATAATCAAGCTACAAATATAAATAATTAACAATTATATATTTATTATAATATTTTAATAATTTGAAGTTATAGGATTATTATAAAAAATTAATAATAATAAATCTTAAAAAATTAGAATTAAAGGATTTATAAAATTTAAGTAATTTAAAGAAGTAATATTTGAAATAAAGTAAAGACAAAATAGGAGTTCTAGGGTCAAAATTCTAAATAGTACACAGAAGTTTCTAACTCGTTTGCAAATCAATTTTAGATATTTGAATCAATTATTGAATTCAAATCTCATGTCAGATTTGATATTGAACTTAACTAAAAATTAGCCTATCTGATACTAAGAATTATACTATTTGATATAAATATTCTACCCCATTTTTAATCCTAATTATTATATCAAAAAATTATACTATACTGTTTGATCTTAGGAGTAAACGAAAATATTAAGAAATGAAATAATAAAATATTTGAGTTTATGATTCTTGTAAACCTAATATACTGTATATAATAACTTTATACTATTATACTAGTTCTTTGAATCGCTTGACTTAAATAAGTAATATACATATTATTGCAAAAGGTTTTATTTATAAAAAAGATGAAAAATATATCTAAAGATTTATAAATGTAATAAAAATACTATAAATACGTATAAGATAAATGATTAATAAATAAAATTATAGTACTGATTATGTTAGCATGTCTGTACTAGTAGTTTATTTATTAAAGATTTATAACTACTAAAATAAACTTAAAGAAACTTACAAAAACCTATCTCTACTTATTTTTAAATTGCTCTTATTTATATAAAAACTATCCTATATATCATTATAATAATTTAAATAAAGAAAATACAGAAAATAAGATAATAAATAAATAAATAGATAAAATGAATACAATAAAATAAATAAAATGAATAAATAAAATAAATTAAATAAACTATAATGCCAATAGATCTATTTTGTAAATCAATTTTACTAATATTTTAGACAATCAATTTATGTTAATCATTTCATTACTTAATTTATATATTAATTTGATGATTAATTTTAATAATACTAATTTGATTAATTGTAGTTCATTTGTAGATCAATCTTGTAGATCTAATTTCAAGAGTAATAATACTATATTGCTTACCTTTTAGGAATAGACAAAAATATTGAGAAACAAAGTGATAAAATATTTGAGTCTATGACTATTATAAGTCTAAAATACATATCATATTTCATAATATCCTAGAATTAATTTTAAGCTAATTCATAACCATTTTATAGGATCATTAAGTATAACTAACCTTTAGGATGTAAAAAAATTTTTGTATGATTTAACTTGTTAAGTTATATAAAAAATTGGATAGCAAAAATAAACTCTAGATATTATTTTATTTATATTACAAAAATTATAATATATAGAAAAACATTTAAAGCTATTTTATTAAGAAATTCATTGGTCAAATAACTTATATAACTCATACAAAAAATTATAAGTATTACAAAAAAATTAAGTTATATAAAAAAATTATAATAATATTATTCTCTAATTATTTGCCATATTATTCTTACTATATTTCAAAATGATAACATACAAAAAGTATTTTAAAGCCAAATCATTTAGAAATATTTTGAGTCGTAAAATCATATGAAAAAATTATATACCAAAAATTATATAAAAATTATTAACTATCTAAAACATACTACATCTTAACCTAAAGCTTATTAACATACTGGATTATATAGCAACTTTTAATATGTAATGAATATCATATAGAAGTTAAATTAATAGATTTATTACATTTACTGCATAGAATATATATCTTAGCCTTTCAATAAAATATTATTCTTCAGGATAAATGCAGGGTCTATTACAAATCTTACCAGTATTAAGTAAATATAGATAGGAATATTTTCTGATCATATTTAATAATAGGAAGAATAATTAATTAAAGAAAAAAGTTTGTAAAAGTATTATTCTTCAAATATTTATGATACTAAGATTAAAAAAAAATTTTATAAAATATTATATATATATCAGTATTATAAGAGGAAATAAAAAAATAAACTTGTGAACGATATGATAAAGTGTATATAATTCCTAATAAACTTTGTAAACATTTAAATAAAAAGGTTAAATACAAACCAAAACCTATTCAAACAGAGAATGTGAAATGCATGAAATTTAATTTACAATAAAATTTTTAATTATGTAAAAATTTTTTATTTTATTTTTTATTTTATACTTATATATACAGAAGGTGGACAAAAGTATCCCACACCCTCTATAAACGCGAATTAATGCTAGAAAAGTCATATGACTGCAATAACAAATTGCGATCATATGACATGTTAGTGTTTATTTATATTATAAACATAAAAAAATAACAATTTAATTTTTTTTTAATAAATTTTCTTCTCCGAAACTCTAAATAAAAAAAAAATAGTAAAAACTAAAGAATTAACTGCAGAACAATGCGAAGCCATAATTTATTGCTATAAATATGGTAATAGTTATCGGACCATTGCTAATACCATTGACTGCGGAGTGTCAACTGTTTGTGATACTATTAATTGATATCGTAATACTGGATCAACCAAATCAATGCATCATTTTGGACGTCCGCCTTTAATTCCAATCCTACAATGAAATTGCCTTAAACGAATTGTGACGAATGTTAAAACTAAAAATCGTCATCTATGTGCAGCTGGAATACAACAGCTTTGGAAGAAGAAGACTGGGCAAGATGTTTCGACCAAGATGATTAGACGAACCCTCCATTCAGCTGGATTAAAAAATTGTGTTGCAAGAAAAAAACCATTAATTTCACCAGCAAATATTGAGGCGCGTCTTGAATGGTGTTTAGAACATCAAAGCTGGACTAAAGCGGATTGGTCGAAAGTCTTGTGGAGTGATGAATCCACATTCTCTCAATTTCAACAAAGCCACTCTAGTAAGGTTTGGCGTGAACCGAAGGATGAATGGACTTTATCCTGTGTTACAGCTACAGTAAAACATAGCCCTAGTCGAATGTACTGGGGCTGCTTTTCAAGAAAAAGTATGGGGCCAATTGTTCCATTGTCTGGAACAGCAACTGGTAATTCACATGTCATCATTCTTCGTAAATATGTTGTTCCGGCCATGAGAAAATCTTTTCCAAATTATGATGGCTGGTTTCAAGAAGATAATGCTCAGCCTCATAAATCAAAGGTTGCAATGTCTTTTCAAGCGGAAAGCAATCTTCGTATATTATCTTGGCCAGCACAAAGTCCCGATCTTAATCCGATTGAGAATCTTTGGGCTGAAGTCAAGAAAACCATCTGAGCTTATAAAAAACCTCCATCTAATCTTGCTGTTCTTGACCGATATGTTAAAAAGGCATGGAAAGAAATTCCGAAGCATACTATCGAAAACCTAGTCGATAGTATGCCACAACGAATTCAAGCCGTGATTGTGGCAAATGGTGGCCCAACTAAGTACTAGTTACTTAGTACAAAATTTAGATCTTAATCAGCTTTAAATAAAATATTAATTAACCTTTCATTATTAATGCAAAATTATTTGAAGTTTTATATTGAGTGAAAAAGTGTGCGAATACTTTTGTCCACCTTCTGTAAAACTTCTCTTGTCTGTTATTTCAATTCTTTTAATTCATTTTTCTTTTTTAAATTTGTTTTTTTTTCTTTCTCTCTTTCTCTCTCTCTTTCTCTCTCTCTTTTATTTTTCGATTTTTTTATTCCACCTATTTTTTCAATCGCCATTTCTAATTCGGTTTTTTTTCTTTTTTTTTTCTTTTTTAATATTTCGTTTTTTTATTCCACGCTATTTCTAATTCTTTTTTTTTCTTTTTTTTTTCGGACTTTTTATTTTACGTCAATTTCTCAATCAGCATTTATTTTGTTTTTTTATTTTTTTTTTTATTTCTCGATCTCGTTTATTTCGTTCTTTTCTTTTTTTTATTTTTCGATTCCGTTAATTTCGTTTTTTTCTTTTCTTTTTTTTTATTTCTCGATCTCATTTATTTCATTTTTTTCTTTTTTTTATTTCTTGATCTTGTTTATTTCATTTTTTTTATTTTTTTTTATTTCTCAATCTCGTTTATTTAGTTCTTTTCTTTTTTTTTATTTTTCGATCCCGTTAATTTCATTTTTTTCTTTTTTTTTTATTTCTCGATCTCGTTTATTTCGTTTTTTTCTTTTTTTTTCTCAATCTCGTTTATTTCATTTTTTTTTTTTTTATTTCTCAATCCCCGTTTATTTCATTTTTTTCATTTTTTTTTATTTCTCGATCCTGCCTATTTCGTCTTCCTCCTTTTTTTTATTTCTATCATTATGGCTTTGGTTGCTTCTGTTGTTGCTTCATTCGAATGGACTATTGAAGCTGCAAGAGAATTAATTCGACTTCAACGCGAGAATCATGACGATTTTGAGTTCGTTCCTAATAATCGCCATGAAAGGATATGGAGAACCATATCCAACCAATTATTTCTTAATAGAGGGTTCGCCGCTTCTCCTTCTTAATGTCATAGGAAATAGTACTCATTAAAATATGGGTACGAAAATCTCAAGAGGTTGGAAGCTGGAGAGAATCTCCACAAACAACCAATAACAAATCCAACTCTGCATGATCGGATATTTCATGCAGACTTGGGTGACGAATTTTGGCTTTGAACTGGTAATTATTTATTGAATAATAGTAATAAGAAATATATTTTTTACTTTTTAAAACTTCA